CACAGCGCTTTCTCACGATCGGGGCACGCGATCGGGTTGTCTCATCACGAGTTCGGGATCCGCGGGCCGATATCGTGCGCCGAGGGCCAACAAGGGCGCAAACAAAGGGCTCCGAGGGTGAAGAGTGCTCCAGAGACATCAAGGCAAGAACCACCTCCATGGAGGGTTGGGTGCACATGTGCACCTGTCGCCCAGTCGCAGTGCGGGGCAAGACAGCAGCAGGACAACTGTCACAGGCCGCGCGCGCTCGATCCCAGGCATCTGATGTCGCATTCCATTTTCCACAAGACACGGCCCCGGCAAATCCCGACCCCTCCCCTGGAACACCTTCCTCATCCTGAGCCGTTCCTTGACGGCCACGAGGGGCGAAAGCGTTCCTGGGATTGAGAAATCGATGACATACCCCTGCCGGGACTAAGAAATCGATGACATACCCCTGAAAGCTATCGAAGAACCCGATGAGGCCGACATCTACGAAAAAGCAATCAGGATGCGGACAACAACACGACGATCGGAGGCCTGGGACGCAGGCTCCATCCACGATCTCGCATTCGCCGGCTGCGCGAACGGGAAGCAGCTGTGCGATCGCGACTCCACGATCGTAACTCGAAACGAATGCGGGGCTGTTCTGTTGTCTCCATCGTACGCAAGTACCATATCCCAGAAAACGTTGGAGCACCCCGCAAAGCATCGAAACAGCGCCTGCCCGACACGCAGGCGAGGTACCGAACGAGTATCGCCTCCCAGGGCCCGACGTGAAAACCCTCCAGCTTCGATACTTCCCTGGTGCTCGACAAATTCTCTCTGGCGAGCAAGGCTAAAAAATGTTGGAACATCTTCAGACTCGGGAGGGTGGAGCGACCGACCACTCCCCCACGGCGACTGGCCCGCAGGCTCAAGTTCCTGGGGTTCAGTCGGGCGTGTCCCCCTACAAACGGAGTTTAAACGAAACATAAAAAATCGTCAACACATAACCAAACAAATGAGCAAACATACTAACAAAATCGTCCCCAGACTATTCTATATTATGTTCGAAACTTCCTCCTGTAGAGGGACACGCCCGACTTACCTGGGGCGCCCGGCGCGGGCGCGGCGTCGGCGGAGGCCCCGTGGGCCATCCCGCAGGGGAGGGGGGAGAGGGGGGGAGGGGGGCTGGGAGGGGATGGAGGAGGGAGGGGAGGGAGGAGGGCGGGAGGAGGGCGGAGGGGGGGGGGAGGGAAGAGGGGGAGGGAGATGGAGGAGGGAGGGCTGAGCCGCGCCTACTCGCCCTGCAACCAAGCAGGCGCGCGCGCGCGCGCGCATCGCGGAGCCCCGCGCCTGCCCACGCGCGCGTGAAGTCACAGTCCGTCACGGCCGCGGGTGTTCGGTCTCTGAGGGAGAGGGAGAGGGAGCGGGAGAGGCAGGGAGGGAGAGGGGAGGAGAGGGAGAGGGAGGGAGAGGCAGGGAGGGAGAGGGGAGAGGCAAGCTATGTGCGCTCGCGTCATATCTGACGTCCTACCCCTCCCTCCCATCCCTTACCATGGCGCTGATTTTCTCTATCCGCGGACGCGTGTCGTAGCGGACCTGTGGCTCCGCGCGCGCGTGCGTAGTGGGTGGTGGTGCGTGCGTGCGTGCGTGCGTGTTTGCGTGGTTGTGGTTGTGGTTGTGGTTGTGGTTGTGGTTGTGGTTGTGGTTGTGGTTGTGGTTGTGGTGGTGGTGGTGGTGGTGGTGGTGGTGGTGGTGGTGGTGGTGGTGGTGGTGGTGTGTGTATGCGTATGTGCGCGTGTGCTGTGGTGTGACGTGGTGTGGCGTCTTGGTGGTTTGGTGGTGGGCCAGGTGCGTGCGTGCGTGATGGCGGTGGTGGTGGTGGCGGTGGTGGTGGTGTGTGTGTATGTGCGTGTGTGTGTGTGTGTGCGTGTGTATTTGTGTGTGCGTGCGTGTGTGTCTGTGTGCGCGCGCGTGTGATGTGGTGTGACGCGGTGTAGCGTGGTGGTGGCGGGTGGGGTAGTGGGGTGGTGGTGGCGGTGCGCGTGCGTGCGTGCGTGCGTGCGTTGGTGGGTGGAAGTGGCGGTGGGCGGGGCGGGGCGCGGTGCGGTGGTGGCGGGCGGATGGGCGCGCGAGAAAGAGGCCCGCGCTGGGGCGAGAACGCCATCCTGAACGACGGAGGCAAAACACCGATCCGAAAATGAGACCCACGCTGCAGCGGGAGCACGATTCGGAACGAGCGGGGCCCGGAAATGAAGCCGGCGCCTCAGCGAGAGCAGCATTTTGGAAAAAAAAAAAAAAAAAATGCAAGCGAAAACCCAACTCCGGGGAAACCTGTGTAAAAAAACAATACGCGGGGGGGGGCGGCTACTCCCAAGACGTCATCAGGGGAAGAGGGAGAGTAGTATTCATATTGAGTAATTGTAGAGGGAGAGGGAGTGAGGGAGGGAGGCGACGGCGGCGTCACCAGGCTGGGGCTCGGGGCCGCGCGAGGCAGGCAAACAGAGGGACAGTCCCACCGAAGGGCCCGCCCGGT